AAAGAAAGGTGCGATTTAATTTGCAGCTCTTTGCCCACCCACAAGCGAAACACACACAATGAGATTTTAATCACATGGTGCTTCTCTGGTCTTTTATGCCTCTTAAATCAACATAAGCCTGCAGGTATCATGCTGGTCTGCAGCAGTGGGAGGCTACAGGTGGCACCTCTGCCAGCTGAACTGCAGAGCTACTGCACTGACAGCTTTTCAGTAAAGCAACATATTTGCTTGGTGAAGCAAGTGTTAGAGCTTTCTGTGCCTTCCTCTCTGTTTCCAGCTCAGTGTTCTGAGTTTGACAGCTAGGGGGAAAAATTTTTTATCTTGTGGGTGCATCATAATCTGTCTCAAATTGCTTTTAGCAGATACTAAAATAAAAGGGAAAATGATACAGGCAGCACTAGCCCATTACACGTGTGTTCTGACTTAGGATTACTGCTCCAAGTCATTCTGATGTGTGTGGTTCAGGTGTCTGCTGCAGTGCCCAAGCCCTAAATCACTCTGTGCTGTGCACAGCAAGCCAGAGCAACTGGGAACACTGTGAGTGCCAAAACCACTATTAGCTTAAAAGGACAGATAGAACTTCACACACACGTGCACACATGGCTTGTCAAAAACAAACCCAGATTCACATTAGGGAACAGGCAGACAACTGCCATAAGGAGAAAGAATACAGTGAAAATGTGAAAAAAAGAATGCTCAGCTTCAACAGGGTTTTTATACATAATAGGCTGGTTTGACTTAATTGAGAGTGGCATTATTAACATTCTAATGCGAAGTGTTCCCTCTTTAATAGCTTCAGGAGCACTGTTAGGCTCAGAGTGACTTGTGGCTTTGGGATATCCTGTTTCCTTTTCCCTTTTAAATTCAGGACAGAAAGACCAGTTCTGATGACCTATTTTTTCACAAGAGCAGGCTCCTTTAAGCCATCCTTGGGCACAAGAGGATCATTAATAATTCAAAAAATTATGATGAATATATACTGTAATTGTGCTCTCTTATAATAGGAATGTTTATGTCCTTTAGTTTTAAATATAAGCTTTAAACTGTAGCATGTTTCCTTGCATTTGGAAATCTCACCTTTTGTGTAGATCACACTCCTTATAAGGTCTCTACAATGAAAATGTGAAAGCTTCACTGGATTGTCATTTCAAAGATAGGTTGAGGTGCTCTCAAATCAGAAAGATGATCCTGGCCATAGGGAGCTTGTAGCTAGTGCTTTTCTTGTTAACTGACTTGCCAAGCAAATGATCCTTCAGATCTAAGCTGGAGGAAAGCTGGGGGTGGGGAAGAGGCGTTTTGTGTATTCCAAGATGTGCTGCTGTTTTCCAGGTAGTGATTTCTGTCATTTCTGTAAGAGCAGAGGTGCAAGTTTCAGGATCACTCCTTAATTCCAGCTGGGCCAATTTACCATTTGCCTTGATAAACCTTTCTCTGCAGTTTCAGATTGGAAGCCATACACTTCCTCAGTCACGCTCCTGAATTGTTGCCTGGTGTGGCTCTGCTATTAAAAGATGGCCACGTTTAACCCCAGCGGTGGGCGCCCCAGGCCCAGCCCTGGGAGCTGCTGGTGTCCCTGCGGGAGGGACAGTGTTTACGTTCTGCTCCTGCAGCCTGGTATGGGCGGAGAGGGGAGAGGGGAGCGAGGGCCGGAATTCCAGCTCCTTTGCCCTCCAAACTTGTACCTGTTCCAACTGTGCATCCGCAGGCAGCCGGGCCCGCCTCCCACTTTCCGGGCCTTCCTCCTCAGCCTCAGTCAAGCAGCTCCGCTCCATCTGGAGCTGCTCTTGCCAGGGCTTGCCGAGGTACACATGGATGATTTCTAGCCTGTCTGCCCAAGCAAGTGTTTAGAATAAAACCCAAATAGTGCAATTCATGGTGTAACAAGAGGAGGATGTTCACTGCTAAGCATGCTCCACTTCCACTCCAGGCTTTCTGAGTTCAGAGTTGATACCAAACTGCTTTGGGGGACTGGGAGCATAAATGCTTCATCATGGAATCATAGAAGGTTTGGGTTGGAAGGGACCTTAAAGATCATCTAATTCCATCCCTTCTGCATGGGCAGGGACACCTTCCACTAGACCAGGTTGCTCAAAGCCTCTTCCAACCTGCTCCTGAGCGCTTGCAGGGAGGGGGGCAGCCATTTTTGCAAATGTCAGTATTATGCTAATGTCACTGCTGCCATGGCCTGAATTCTCCCAGGTTGCTCGGACCTAGAGCTGCACAGGCACAGTAAGTCTGTAGCTGACATATTTTGGTGAGTGTTCCAACCCTTGTGATACACAGCTCTAGCTCATCAGTTTGGTATCACTAGCATCATGCTTATTCATTTTCATCCTACTGCAGTGCAAATCTGACTAGATGTAGATAACAACTTCCGTATAATTAGGAGGGGAAATGGTATGTAGACATTCTGAAAGAATTGTGAGCATGTTATTTATTACGTGAAGAAATGTTAGGATTTTAGGTTTATCTTTGTGCAGTTAAATCTTAGAGGCCAAATGCCTTAAATGCCTCACAAAGAAGAAGTGAACACCTAAGTAAACGCATTTTTGCTGGATATAGTTGCTTCTTTATGAATGGCTTTTTTAATGCTTATTTTAGGAATGTAGGAAAAGACACTGTAGCTTATAACTATTTCAAATTCTACATGTTTCCAACAGTACTGCAGGAACCTAAAATGACAGTGTTTGTTATTCTTCTTCATAGCTTGTACCTCCGTTTAAACCACAAGTTACATCTGAAACAGACACAAGATACTTTGATGAAGAATTTACAGCACAGATGATAACAATCACTCCTCCTGACCAAGGTAAAGTTTTCTCAGACCACCAGAAATAATTAGCTGTAATGTTACCTAGTCACTTTAGACCAGGTGAAAAAGCATCAGTTTAAACCTCCTGCTTTTCCATAATACGTATGTGACCAAGGAGTTGGTAAACTGATGTGACATTTTTCACATATTTCCGGTTTGGGAAATGAAAAACCTATTTTAGAAGATAGTGAAATTATTTTTACTGTTGTTCTTCAAAACCCACCTGGATGCGTTCCTGTGTGATGTACTCTAGGTGACCCTTCTCTGGCAGGGGGGTTGGACTAGATGATCTTTCGAGGTCCCTTCCAACCCCTAAGATTCTATGATTCTATGATTCTTTCCAAGTCTACGCTTTCACACAGGAAAATAATTCTGTTTGTGTGTTTTGCACGTGTACATGGGCCAATGTCCATATTAAATCTAAATACATTTTTATTTTCATGGTGACTGGCATGTTTGATGCTCTGAAACAGCAATAGCCAGAAATTCAGAACACTGGATGAAGATTTAAGCAGTGCAGCTTGTGGCAATTTTAAATGGACCTCCCAACAACTCTTTACAAGCAACAATCAGGATCTTCTGTGATGCCCATTTAATGGAGCGACATTTATGAGTAACTGTTTCTTTGTCCTTTCAAGTTTTGGAAGAACAAGGCAACAGTGAATTTTTCTGAAATAACTTTGCCATGCCTTATCTTACTGCTTGTTAACTTAAAAAGGCAACAAATGTTATCTACTGTTTTTTTTCATTTTTCAGATGACAGCATGGATTGTGTAGATAACGAGAGAAGACCTCATTTTCCTCAGTTCTCCTACTCAGCCAGTGGAACCGCTTAATGATTTGCAACGTTTTCCCATTCAGAAACAAAACAGACTGCATTTTGGGGACCTTACTTCAATGGACACTAGAGAACTTTCTATATTATCTGAATTACAAACTGTGTTTGTATTACGATTTAGATGAATTTGTAGGAAGCCTCACAGATTCTGTATTTAAAACAATTCTTTGATGCGTTTTTGAGAAGGAAAACAAATCCATTCTTAAAGTATTATGTCAAGGCTTTTATGCTGAATGACCATAGGTTTTTAAGAATATACACCAAAACTGTTTACTTTAGAAATAATTAAGGTATTCAACATATCAGCAACTCTGACCAGAAAATCCCTTTATTTATTTCATACAGTTCATTATCTAAATATAGAATCTGCACTCTGAACAATTAGATTTATATAGGAAGATATAAGACTTTAGTAGCTAGTGCAATAATGTAAGCAACAAAGTGAACAAACTCTGGAGGGTTAAGGTTCAAACTCCTTTTGGACAGCAGTGAAGTGTCATCCAACTCCAGAAAACCAACTGTAAGAACAGCATTAATGGCCTCAGTGAGGTAAATCAAAAAGCAAAAGTTATTTTTGTTATAACATCTGCTACAAGACATTACATATCAAACCGAATCCAGTGGAATTGCCACGACGTACAGACGAGTATTCCATTCTAGGCAGCGCATTGAATGATTCCATTCGCATAGAGTTTAGGAATACTTCATAGGATTGGCTTCTCAGAACCTAGGATATGCTTGACTTACCAATCTAATAGGAAATGCAACAACACAAAATCACCCACTTTCAGCACTGTATAAAAATCCTGTACAGGTCTAAGTGAGGAATCATCTTAATGAGTGAGTCAACCAGACAAAAGTACATTTTGGCACTGAAGTAATGACTTGTTGCCGCTTTTTTTTTTTATGGAAAGATATATGAATATATATAAACACTTAATGATTTTTTTTTTTTTTATTTTTTTTTTTTGCATCATGCCAGATCATTGCTTCTTTCTTGAGTGTACATTAAAGGTATCAGCCAACAGTTCATGGTGCCTTCTCACTCTGGAAGATTCACTTTAACAGTGTTTCCCATATATAAGAAAAGAAAACTAGGTTGAACTTCATATGTGTTTGAATAATAATGGTGTTCTAAAAGTGAATTTTTGGGGTTCTTTTGGGTTTTTGTTTTTTTTTTTTTGTTTTTTTTTTCCATTTTTAATCTTAGTGGAAAATTCCCCATACCCTATTTTTGTTGTATCATGTTTCTTTGTAATTTTCATAAAAGCAGTCTTATTCTGTCTCCGCTGCGAATGAATTTATTCCACTGTAGGTTGTGTTCTCTTGAATGGCTTTTTTTTGGTTGTTTTTCATTCTCTTGACTGTATAAAAAATGATGACGTGTACTGCAGCTAACTAGCATTTAATTTTTTTTTGTTTGAAAGGGAGTATGTAATGAAAACCCTCGCTTCCCCTTTCCATCAGAAACTGCTGTGTTTGCACAGAGAGCCCATCATCCTGGCTTTTTTTTTTTTTTTAACAACATTCAACTCTAGTATTTTTACTCATGATATGAAAGTTTTCCTCCAAATACTTAAATAAAAATTGCTTTAACAAGTTAGGTTCTTATTTCTTGCAGCAGGAACCTCCTGAATTTGTAGAGATGCAACAGCTGCTCCAGTTTCTCAAGTCTGATGTGCACATCACTGAGGCATTTAGGCTTTTCTGCCCCTCCTCAGTTGTTTCTGTGCTGATCATTATGCAGAGATAATTTTGGAAAATGTTTCTTGAAAGGAGTAACACCCTGTGCCAGAAGTAGTTTGTCTTGAGGTGAGTGAGGACAGGCCTCATTTTGCTGTCCTCCTGGTGCCAGTGAGATGGTGTTACTGAGGCCCTGGTCTTCAAAGGTTTTTGTGTTCCCAGTCACTTGGGCCAGTGTACAGGATATAATACTGCATTTTCTTTCTAGGGACTAATATTAATTGCTTCTCAGAGGTGGTTGGTTATACAAGGCTGGAATGTTCTTTTTCAAACAAGAATACAGAGGAAAAAAACAAGAACATTCAAGAGCAACTGCAGTATGCTTCAGACTAAGCACAGAAGTCACAGCTGTAATAAGCTGTTACACACCTAAAACATGTTTGGGTTCAAGGAACAGGCTATAATCCCTAGAATTTACTGGACATTGTATGCAAGGAGGGAAGGTGAAAGGAGGGATCCATGTCTCTGTAGAGGATACCTTGCACTGATGCTGGACAGGCTGTCCCCTTCCACAGGTCTGATTTCCTGGCACTCTGCATCTTTGCTTTCAAGCCTTCATCTGAGTTTGCAGCCAGCCTGGGGACAAAGTCGAAAGAACTCTTCTGCAAGTCTGCAAGCCCTGACAAGTTCTGAACGAACACACTCGTGCATCCAAATACAGGCAAGACAAATGAGCAAAGGTTACCATAATCTGCCCCAGGAAAATCTGGTCTTTCAAATGCAGGAACAGGCACGGATCAGGTTGTTCTGTTGAGGCTGATTATGTCTCAGAACAGTATTTTTCTGCCAGTTGTTGTTAATGGATTTTTGTTTTAACTCCCATATATAAAGTTGAACTGAAAAAAAGAAACAAACTGCCAAAAAAGTCTTGAATTCTTGGTGCTGTTAGCAACAGTGAGCTGTGAAAGCTGAACGCAAGGGCCTTCATTTAGCCTGGGATGATTAAAAATGCCTTGCCTGTCTGTAATTGAATGATTGCCAGTGCTACAGCTGTCTACCTGAAAATGCAAAAGGTATTCTTTAAATTTTGATTTAGCACTGGCAATGAGGAGCAGAAGATGCACCACTGTTACCATCCTGATGTCTTTCTGTACCTGTCATGGAAGTTTGTGACCTGAGTGCTGCTCACCTCAGACTGCTTTTGGACCATATGGGCAAAGACTGCTTAAATCTTGCACATTCCTTTAGCTCTTTATTTGAAAACCTCAAACTTTTCTGTTTGTATAGCCAAAACCTCATTTTTCCTTCTGGCATTGACACATCGTCTTGCTCTGGTGCCGTACATCCCAGGGAGGGATGGTGCAGAGCCCTGGTTCATGTGTTAAGGCCCAGGAGCTTGGTTGTCGACTCAGGTTGGGAGTAAACCAGAAAACAAAAAAAACCTTTGCAAGAGCAGATAAGTAACATTGTGTTCTCTGTGTGCTCCTGACTGCAGTCAGAAGAGGAGGTCAGCGGGGCACTGGTCGAAATAGAGACACTGCTGCTTGTGCTGTTGTGGGTTAAGAGATGTTGGCAGAAGCCAGGTTCATTCTGCAAATTCCATTTTTATTCTGCATTGTAACTAAAACACCCACTACAATCCCATTAGGATGTGGCAGGCTGTTCTCCCTTCAAACTGTGGGAAGATCACTGTAGTTTATAGCATTCCTAACTGCACAAACCATGACCTCTCTCACCCCCCCCCCCCCATAACATAATCTGCTTTTTCTTCATTTTTTCTTTCTGCACAATCACCCCTCCAGCAGGTTATCTCCACGTGCTTTTCAGCTGCTCCATAGCTCTCATGCAGGCCTCTAGTATCTCAGCTGCCATTTGAGTTTGTTCCTGGTTTTCTATCTGAGAAACAAATCATAATAGTTCTTGGAGGTTTGAGGGTAAAAACTTTAATTGTTTGAATGAGATGATCTTTGCTTTAAGTGGGGGTGAATTTTCTTGTCTGATGCTTTGAGTTGCTTATATGCTTTTAAATGCTCAGTACAAGAGTGCTTATACTCCTTGTGTTTGTGGGGTTTTTTTAAATCTTTGTTAGAGAATATACCAGTTGTTTTTTAGAGGGGATATGCTAAGTCAGGTTTTCTTTCTAGTAGCAGGATTTAGGATGGTGGACCCAGAGTAGTCCCCTAGTGGGAATGCAAACTCCTGGAAGATGGGAATTGCAGAAGAGAAGTCCCACATGTAAAGCACTTGTGGGAGTTGCAGAGGTTTTCTGCCCAAGAAGTTTGGGAAATTGTAAGTTGGGAGAAAGGTTTGATTTGTTTCACTGTATCTAAAAGGGCTGCAGAGGTAAAAACACATTTGAGGAAACGGGTGTGTGTAGACGGATCTTATTTCTTCAGTGTTGCAAATGCATGTGTTTTGTCTCCCACTTTTAGCTCAATTTACTTAATAAGAGGGCGGTTAATTGCCACTAGAAGTAAAATGAAAAGAACATGCAGTGCCTGTAGCAAATGGGAGCTTATTACCCCCAGTGCAGCTGAGTGTACAGACGTTTGGTAGCTCTGTCTATGACAACATATGTTGCATTCTAATCAGGTGATGACTAGTTGCTCAGTGTCTGAAATAATTGTAAACAAAAAACATTTTATTACAGTAATTCCTGCATGCCACTGTTTTTTTCCCTTTTGTGTGTGTGTGTTTTTGGTTTAACAAAAATTTAAACCATCTTGGGTTTGTGACCACAGTGGGTTCTTCCTTGAGGACCAAATAGCAGATCAAGGATTGGTATGTGAAAACACTGCTTTGTGTTGGATTTTTTTCAGCATGCTTGTAGCTTGGTTCTTGGTTTCTCCTTCACCAAAGCCCTGTTTCATGTGGTTGGCTTCCTCTCACTTCTCACTACCTGTTTCCTCAGGAATGGGCTTTGTGAACTTCTTCCTGTGTTAAATGTAACCCTGGTCTATGCTAAGATTCCATTTTTATGAATTATTCACACTTGATTCTTGATGTCTTGCTATAACTGCTTGTATTTTGCATCTTCATCAGGTTTTTTGAGTTTGTTTCAGGAAGATAATGGCTGCACAGACAGCTGTTGCCATATTTTCTGAATTCTGAAGGTCTCTAAAATTCTGCATATTTTAAGAATATTATATGCTTACACCCCACAAAAGACACTATAGTGATTCTGAGTGAAGGTTCTTCACAGAAGCAGAGGGGATACCGTCCTACCCCAAATGTTGTGATCTTTAGTTATTTGTAAACTCTACCATATCTATTTCCTTCCACTGTTGTATTCTTACAGCACTGATTCTGTTAGCCAGAAAACTGTTGTTAAGTACTGACAAAACTGTATCAGAACGAAAAACAGATTGTCTTCAGCACAGTGCCTGGAAATTCACTGAAATTTGATTAAATTATGAGAAAATACATGCTTAAACATTACACTGTTTTGGGAAAAAAAGCAAACCCAGCAACTCCCCTTCCTTCAGCTTATTGAAGTACAGCAATTGCAACAAATTGGACTTCTCTGGGGAAGTCCTTGCTGACCAGGCTTGCAGCAGGGGCACTGGGCCAAGTCATCTCCAGAAGTCCCTGCCACCCTCAACTAGTCTGGGATAACATTTAGTGGTCTAGGTCCTGGATTTGAGAGCATGAGCTTTAGTGAAGGAGGTTCTTCATGGGCTTTTTCTGTCTCTGGTATGTATCTGTACTTCAAGACTGACAAGACATGTCTACCACTTCCATAAAATCTATGTGAATCAGCACCTGCCTTGCATTGAGATGCTGCTTGTAGTTCAGATCCTGAATTTGTCTCACTTTGTTTTATGTCATTGGCCCTGGTCATCCCAAGTTCACTGTACTTACTGTTTTAAGCAGTTTGTATCTTTGTTAAATTGCACTATTGTTTTGTAAGCAGTTTTTGCAGGGAT